AAAGATTTTCAATGTTTATAAACAGTCCCCTCTTTTGCCTTCTGTATCAGTATCTTGCAGCCAAATACACCAGTGACCAGGACTCCTCTCCTCTACTGACCTTCACCGGTTTCATTCTGAATGCTGTGTGACCTTTTGATTTATCACAGTCATACATTGTTGTGTTATGGAGTGCTGGGCCTATAAGGAGCTTTTCCTTTATGACAGTCTGTGTATTTCTCTCTATGTATGTATGTGTAACGCTCGCTATATACAACACTACTAATGCTGTACTACACATCAACTGCCATGACTGTTGCCAGTGACAGAGTAGTGAATGGGTTAATTGTTAGACTGACTTTTTAGCATCCTGGAAAATTTCTGACATGTTGTAATTTTCCTCATTTAAGCAGAACTCCAGTTAAAAGTTTTCCTAACCCTTGCAATGTGGCTACCCGGCACTGCAAGGGTTAAGGGACAAAAATAACAAAGATATACTCAACCCGATCCTCGGGGCCAGCTGGCTGTAAGGGCCCATTCATACCAACTGCGGTGCGTTCCAGATCGATAGCTGCTGGAAAGCGCAGCAACCGCTCACAAAACTTCCCCCTTCGTTCTGGGGCAGGAGGGGGCATGGTGGTGGATTGAAGTCAATGGCACCGCATCCATGTCCCCCGCCCCCAGTGTGATCGGCCACGTGACAAAACATTGCCTACATTCTGGATCACTGCAAACGCACAAGATGCTGCATGCTCTATTTTTTGCGTTTGCAGTGGACTAGAACGCAGGCAATGTTTTGCCACGCGTCCAATTGTACTGCGGTGCCTTTGATTTCAATGCACCGCCACGCCCCCTCCCGCCCCAGAACGAACGGGGGAGCTTTGTGAGCGATTGCTGTGCCTTCCAGCAGCTACCGCTCTGGAACGCACCACAGTTGGTGTGATCAAGCCCTAACAACGCTCCCTCCTGCCTGTCTCCTCCTCTGCTCCAATGATGGTATGTCCCTTGGTGTCCTCACCTCCTATACACAGTGTATAGCACATGATGATTAGACTGCTGCAGCAGAGTGTGTGAGCAAGTCTCCAGGGACCCGGCCTAAGAGCAAGCCGGCTCTGAGGATCTTTGTTATTTTTGAACCTAGACAAAGACACGCACTTAAGCCTTGCAATGCAGAAGTAGCCCCACTGCAAGGGCTAAGAGAAATTATGCCCGGAATTCTGCTTTAAAGTTGAACTTGTGCTGGGGTATGCAGGAGAACATGCTATAATGTGGAGTGATGACAAATCCCTGCTCCCTATTGTCGTTGCTGGTTCTCCTGCAGGTTTGGTTATCTTTTGTCTTTGGCCACTGAGGATATAACAAGCGTGCATGTGTGCTGGAGCTAAATGATCTCAGCACTAGGCTGAACTCTCATACATAAACATTTTCTTTTTAAATTGCAAGAATAAGGATCAATGCTCATGGCCGCCTGTGGCCATACAACATAAATTCCATCATACTTTTCCCACCCACCACAACTGCTGGGTCCTGCCCAAGGGCTCTACACGGGGTATATGCTGGATTTGTGTAAACATGTGCATGTGTAGGGGTGCACAACCCTGAATTTTGGAATCAGGATTTTGCCTGGAGTTCTAGCTTTGGGGCGCCATTTACACTTGTGCGTTGCGGCAACAA